CTTCAGGGGGCCAGAGTTAAGGTTGCATGGGCATTTACTTTAACTCATTTCCTGATTTTCAGAAGTTTTGAGTGTTGCTGAAATTGACATTCTGGAAGGGCACAAGACACCACCAGGCAAATTTAACACTGCATTAATGAAGTTATTTGTCAGAATGTATTTATTATTTAACAGAAATATATTGTGACAGGGTGCCGGGGTTTTATTTGGTCTTTGGCAAATGGGATTTACTCCTGTTCAGGTCTGCACCCACCCTTGCACTGGTGTTCAGAGGAAGATAGAGAGCTGGAGAATCTCAGCAGGAGGGTTTGGGCGAAAGTAAGGGGAGAGCGCCTTGGAGGTAGAACTCCATACCCATTCACTACAGGACTGAGGAGATTGCTCACGTTAGGGGTTTTCTGGAAGTTTGGTTAAAAAAATATTCTTGTATCCTCAAGAATTAAACCCTTCAGAAAGAACACAGGCATCTTGAAGGATTTCTTGCTAATTTCCATTGTGATCACTCTACTGGCTTAAAAATTTAGACTTAACATCTGTGTATATAACAAAGACTCAGTATTGCCAGCCTCAGGCATTTAGAATTCATAACTGAAGCCACCCAGATGCATGACATTAAAAAAAATTTTTTTTAAATTTGTCTTCTGTTTTTTTGAGCTTTAGAGTGTACTTGAGCCACATTTTCCAGCTATAAACTGCTTTTCTTTTTAAAATTAAAACAGATTCTCACAAAGTCCCATGGCTCCAGGAGCTGGGGCTTTAAAACTCCAGCTATTGTGAGAGTGGGCATCTGTAAAGACTAACGTTCTAGCATCTTTTCTCTTTAAAGGGTGCCTGTGAAAGGAAGAGTGAATTTGTGCCCTTTTTTGCTTCCCTGTGTTGTACAAAGTAGGCCTAAATATATATTTTTATCCAAGTATTTTTCCTTGCTTCCCCCGCATATTAAGGTTGTCAAGGTTTGTCTTCCATTTTTAGTGGAGGGATTCAAATATGCATTGTGTTCTTTCTCAAGCCTTAATTGAAGGGTAAGGGAGCTGAACCCTTAAAGAATTTTTTTCCCCTAAATGTTTCAGCTAACGTGGAAGGAACAAAAGCAAGCAAGCAAACAGCCAGAACAGTCATTTCTCTCAGTAGATCACATTTTATTTATTGTGAAGTCATAATCCTCGCAGTTCCCTAGTCATCCACAGAGTCTAAAGGAGACTACACCAAAAGTTCTAATGGAAAAAACCCACACATTACAAATATAGATTTTTTTTATATATCATAAACCCCCCTCTGGAAAAACACAAAAGAAACTCGATTTTGCTTTCTTTTACAGGTCACCTTTAATCCTTTTCCAGTAGATGGACAGTTCATGCTTTCATATGTGGCGTTCAAATAAAAAGGTCGGGGCCACCCAGAAGGAGGTTTTCACTTCCAACATAATGCAGGACCTCTGACGTGAAAGACATTAACGTCTTTCAGGGAAACTGTCCCAGCAAAATCTATTTAGAATATGAAGGGGGAAAAAGGACATTTCTCCTCTTGCTCACTACTGAACATTAGGGTATGACTACACTAGAAAGACTACAGCAGCACAGCTGCGCTGCTGGAGTGTTGACACTTATTACAGCGATGATTGGAAGGGGTTCTTCTGTAGCTGTAGTAAATTCACTTCCCTGAGGGGCAGTAGCTAGGTTAACGGAAGAATTCTTCTGTCAACCGAGCAGTGTCCATATCGAGACTTTGGACAGCTTAATTACATTGCACAGGACGTGACATTTTTCACAGTCCTGAGCGATGTAGTTAAGCTGATCTAGCTTTGCGGCGTAGACCAGCCCTAAGGCAGCAGAGGAAGGCATCTAACTTGGACACAGCGTTTCACAGTGGAATGTGTAGAAGAGAAACTAGTGGGGGGAGGACAAGTCAGTCTCTTTCTTTTGACCGTTTCATTAGATCATACGGAGAAGGGAGAGAAGTAAGGCTTTGTCCTTTTATCTCATGTAAGACAGGACAGTCTTAAGAAGCCAAGCAGTACTAGGCCTGTGCTTAAAGATTAGGTCAACCTAGTTACATTGCTCAGGGATGTGAGAAACGTTGCCCCCGAGTACTGTAGTTAGGTCAACCTAACTCCTAGTGTAGATGCAGCTAGGTCAATGGAAGAATTAACAGTTCTTAACAATGCAGTCAAATACCCAGGCTCTAACCTATCCCTACAGAGCCTGATAAAGGCATCTGATATTTCAGAGCAAGAGCAACCCCAATTTGTGCTCTGGCTCTGAAAAAAAAAATTCAGGGTTTTAACACCTGGGAAACAGCCAATATTTAGGAATGCCTGCCCCTGGCCACACCCATCTCAACGGTGTGCTGGGAGTTTCTGGGGGGCAAGGTTACCCTGATTCCATACCTGTTGGAGCTCTTATGCTAGGAATAAGCTCTATGGGGCCTTACAGCTGCTTTGCCTTTGTCATCTTAAAGGGGCTGCAATGAATGCATCCCATGGCACGGTAGGTGTGGAAGCGAAACCTCTATGTCAAACAAATGAGCCCCATACACAATACAAAAGAGTTTTGTTGAGCTCTTCCTGTCTTGCTGACCATTGCTGGCTGGCTGTTTCTTTGTACTCCCCACAGGTTGTCTTGTCTGATTCTGTGATTGTGAGCTCTTTGAGGCTAGGACTGTCTTTTTGCTCTGTTTGTACAGCACCCAGCACAATGGGACACTAGTCCGTAACTGGGCTCAATGCTGCTACAGCCATACACGTAACCACACCCAGTGCAACTGTAGTATTTTTGCACTGGTACCGTAATGCTGGAACCACCAAAATGCAGCATCAGCCCCGCAGGAGTCAGTAATCCCAAGTGCAGCATTAGGGCGGCGGCAGTCAAGCATGCAATCCCTTGCTTTTGTGACAAAGGCAGGAGACCAGTCCAGCACGAGAGAGAGAGAGAACTGCTCCATCCCCAAAGGAAGCGGGAGAAATGGCTGAAGAGCCACATTCAGTGGCCAACTGAGGTTCTGATTCATAAGGGTCTCAATTTTCCTTCTATGACTGACACGTGTAACTGGAATGAAAAAGCCTCACACAAAACAGTTACAGCCATCGTGGCATGGGCAGGGCAGTCTGAGTTTAGGTGCAAACGTAGGCCGGGCTTGACATAATGAATTGGGCATGGATGAGGCCTCATTTCCAGGAAGACAGGACTCAGAAGGTATTGGGATCAGCAGGCTGGAAACAGAATGTCTGTACTAGCTAAGACAAGGGGGACACCCAGAGACACATTTACAATGGATAAGATGATAAAGGATAAAAAAAGGCTGGAACATACAATGAGGTAAAGAGTAAGTTGTGCACAAACAGTGCGTGGACTTATCGTGGGATCGTATGTAATGTCCCTCAGCGGGAGACATGACTCATGTAAACCCTGGAAAATGTTATGTGCTTCAAAGGTCTCTTTTAAACAATGTGTCAGACAAGAATTCTAGGAAATACGTCAGAAGAAGGGGAACACAGATGCCAATCCCTGGATCCAAACGTTTGATTCTACACCCTGAGGAAAAACCCATTGTCAGATGATTACTTGTTACCAGGGTCACAGGATCAAAGACCCCACTTGTATAAAGGGGGAGGGGGAGAATCTCAGATTAATGGGGGTTCATGTCCTGAGCAAAAGATGATATGAACTAATAACCACAGGAAAACTTCCATGTGAGGTCTGAGGGACTGACTCCTACCAGAACCCTTGCTGGAGTTGGGGGTAAGCTAATCAGCATGTGTGCAGGTTTTTATTTTAATAAGATATCTGTTAATGCTTTCACCTTAAGAATAAATGGGCTTGCTTAGGAAAATCTGTGTGGTATCTTAAAACTTTAGGTGATTATGCTGTTTATAACTTATGTGGAGAAAGCAAAGCAGACCTGCTTAAGCACTTTGACATGCTGGGGAACTCAATGTAGGCAGGGAACTGTGTAGCCCAGCAAACCCTGGTGAGAAGATAGAGACCCCTGCGTCTCCGGCCAAGAGAGGCAACAGCTGAGGAGCTGGGAGCCTAGAAGTGGGTGCCTTTCCTGAGCTACAAGGGGGAAAACATATGTGCAGTTCCCTCGAGTTATATGTGCAAGAAGAAAAAGGGAGATTAAGTTTGGGAGAAATTTGGGACTTGGCCATGGCTGAGGAGTTTAAAGTGTGTTATGGCTGCAAAAAACGTTCTGGGTTGCTTGTTCAGATGCATTATTTCATGTCTCACCGTGATAGTCAGAAGCACCATAGCTCAATAAGTCCCCAGCACCCTCACATGAGGGCAGTACCTTTTCTGTTGCAGGGCCTTGACTATGGAATATGATCAAACAAGAGCTCAGAATGAATCCTGATGTCTCAAGATTTGGATAAAAAAGTGGAGACCTGCTGTGATAGGTGGATCCCTGCCTCAAGCGCTCTCCAGCAGGTCACAGAACAAGTACACTTGCCTCAGTTTCCTCTCAGTCCAGTCATAAAGGGAATACAGTATCCAATCCAAAAAGCTCACTTCTAGGCATAATTTAGTACTGTACATGTTCTGTAGTCCATAGAATCCTCATGATAAAACCATTCTTCCAAAACCCCAAACTAGAACACGTACCATCACAGCAATTTTTCATGCTCCCTCCCAGGCTATTATTTCCAATTCACCCTCCCAAGAGTCCATCCCCAGACTTTCTACCTTGTTCCAGGGCTCCATCCTCCAGGCCATCTACCTGAGAGCTCCCAGATTTGCTCACTTTCCCCAACTCTTCTCTGGTATCCCCAAGTCAGGTCTCCCACTAGGTAACTCTCTGCAGCATTTCACTCAGCCAGGCCAACCCCCACCCAGTGAACGTACTTCCAGGACAACCCCTTGTTCTGGTCTTGGCTGCCTGCAATCCTTCACTCAGGCCTGCTGCAAGACAGCTTCACAATGTTCCACTCACCGACTCCTACCCACCTACCCCTCCTGCTCCTGGGATCCACCCTCCAGCATCCGTCCCTTTTGTGCTGGGCTCACCTTCTCCTTACCAGGCTGGTTATTCCTAGCAGACCCCGCATGAGCTCTGACTCAGCAGGTCGTTCCCCAGCTCTGGCCAGTCCTCACCATCAGCCGTTTGCGGTTCCCCATGATGCTCCGGACCTGCTCTCCGCTGCTGCTTCTGGTTCTCCCTGGGCCTCTCCTTTCCTCCCCACGGAGATCTGCCCTAGCCCTTTCCTGACTGGCTCCTCGGCGGCTGTCTCCGGCCCCTCTCCTTGCACGCTCTTCGCACAGCCCAGGCCTGGCTCAGGCACGACCGTCTACACTACGTGCCCCGCCTGGGGGTGGCCCCGGGGGCAGGCAGCGCCTTACCGGAGACAGAGGGGCGGGGGTCAGAGAAGGAAGCGACTGGGGCCCTGGAGCCAATGACCTCGTTGGAGCCGATCGGCGCCCCTCCCCTGAGCGAGCGGAGATCCTGGCGCCCCCGGGGCCGCGCTGGAGCCGGGCAGGGGAGGGGCGGAGCACGCCGGCAGCGGCCGGGCCCAGCTGTCCTGGGGCGGGCTGCGAACGGGGCGCTCCCGGGAGCCCGCGGCCGCCCTGCCCTGGCCACCGTCCCCGCGCAGCCTCTTCCGCGGGCCGACACGGCCTCTAAGGCTACCGCGGAGCAGAAGAACGTAGCCCGGCCCCGGAAATGGCGGTTCACGTGATTCTCCTAAGTCAGCCAATCGGATGCCTATACGTCACGATACATGAACCAATCCGATTTGCCCGCAGCGCCGTCACCGCGCATAACAACAGGCTCCGCCTCGCGCCGGCGCGCTAAGGGGAGGGTTTCTTCTGTTTACGCCGCGCGCAGCGTGCCTGTGTCACCCCGTGCGGGACTTTCCCTGCCGGAGCCAGCCAATGGGGCGGCGCGGCGCGGCGGACCAATGGGCAGGCGCGTCTCAGCGGCGGGTGGGAGCGAGGCTGGCAGCGCTGGCGAGCCGGGGGCCGGAGCCGCCGAGGGAGGAAGGAGCTTGGCGGGCCGATGGAGCGCAGGCCGAGGAGGCGCCGCCGCGACAGCCGCAGCCCCGAGCACTAGAGCGGGCCGCGACCGCCGGGTCCCGACCGAGCCGCCGCTCCCAGCCGCCCGCGCTTCCCCGCGCCGGGGCCGCCGCCGGGCGGGTCCCGAGCCCCCCTTCCCCGCCCGCCGCCTCCTCTATGCGGCGGGGCTGGAGGAGCCGGAGGCCTCGCTCGCCCGGGAGGCTGCAGCCGGGGGACGGCGTGTGAGGAGGGGCCGAGCCCTGCGCGCCCAGCACGGACCTCGGGTGAGGAGCCGGGACGGGGGTTAATGGGGTTTGAGGTCGGGGAGCAACTCGGGGTAGGAGAGACGGGCCTTGGGGCGGAGAGCAGTAAGAGTCCGGGGGGGAAGGGGCAGCCCCTCGGGGGGGAGGGGTGCGTGGGGGCGAAGGGGCAGTCCGTCGGTGGGGGAGGGGTGCGTGCGTGGGGGCGAAGGGGCAGTCCGTCGGTGGGGGGCAGCCACTAGGTGGGGAGGTATGTGTGGGGTGGGGGAAAGGGGCAGTCCGTCGGTGGTGTGCAGCCACTAGGTGGGGAGGTATGTGTGGGGTGGGGGAAAGGGGCAGTCCGT